GTTATGCAAGGATAGTCGCATCTTTACCGCATCTACCTTCTAATCACTGTGAATGCATAGTAAAATGAGAAATCAAATGAATTTAGAAATTTAATGGCTTTTATACTAAATTTGTTGGCCCCAATAGGGTATATAATGTAAAGCATTACACGAAATAATTCAAAGTCTAGGTATAAAGGTGATTAGTGTTTAGCAAGCAGCCAAACAAGAAATAGATAAATATAATTTGCATAACAGTGTTGCTTTTAGTGCATTCGATAAAAAAATTTAATGTTTAAAACCAAAATGTAGAAACATTATGTACGCTTATATAAGGAAATGTGGGAATATATGCTCTTTAAAACGTGAAAGGCTAATAAAATCTGTAGATGCATTACAAAATCTAAACTATTAAATAGAAAATTTCTCATAACAGCTCGCACTACTTTTATCAAATTCAGAATATTAATGGAAACATCTATTAAGTCAATACACGAGATGAAACAACAACCTGTTTTTGTCCTAAAAGTACATGTAATATCTTCAAATATATTAGCATATCAAATCAATCATAAAGACCGAAATCAGTCGTTAAGTCTTGGAATGCGGGCTTTTTCAGGAGTGAAATTGTTAAAAAAATCCAGACAAGTCTCTCATAACGTGTTATATTTTCAAACACTAAAGCCGTTTGATTTGATGCATGCATAATTTTCTCTAGGCCAAAATCAAATTTGGATTGGAAAATTACGTCGGTAGCTCGACGGGTTTTATAATGAAGAAATGTTGGTAGATAGAAAAAGAAATAAATGTAACATCTATAATGTTAAGAAGGACTAGTTAATTCTGCCATTGTAAATATAAATAATTTTAATTTCATTAAGATAGTTAATAATCTAATATCTTACAAAAGTATAGTAATATAAATTATCAATACTTGCCATTAATTCATTTTTTTATTCTATCTTAAGAGTCTGTCGATCACGTAACTTATGCTACAAAAATTATTAGTACCTGAAAATCTGCCAGAAATCAGCAAATATAAAGGTAAAGAATTTGTTTTGCTATCATAAGCATTATTGATGCCAGCCAGAAAATTGTAATCATACAAATTTTTGATGCTTAAATATAATTGGAATCAAATGAATAATTGGTTAAATGGTTAAATTGAGCCCACATGAAATGTATGTATCATACAGATAATTCAAGATGAAAAAATAATTATAGAATTTCTTTATTATCTCATTAATGACACATTTTAGTAATTTGGGATAAAATCGGAAAGCCTTTGTCGCTTGAATGGACTGCGTACGAAAAACAAGATAAATCATTTAACACTCCCCTAATGAGCAAGCTTCTATGAGTATGAATAAATGGACTTCCTTTAAAATGAGTACACCTGGTTTTTATGGAGTATATTAATTTCAATGATGTGTCGAAGTTTGGAGTGTAAAATATAAATATTTAACGTGATATTGCTAGTTCATCATAAGAGCGTAGAAATAAAATTTAGATTAAATCCTTTTAGAAAGTAGATACGCTATATTACTGGCATTAAACGTGCAAGAGACTGAAATTGCAGGATATCCTTATTTATAATGCCTAATTTCCTTTACATTCCTGTCCCAATGTTGATCTTATCCTTACATATGCATAATTCGTTTTAAGGAGTTCATGCGAATATCGAATAAGTCTTCAACTACAATAGATTCTAGTGAATCCAGCTATCGTTTACTCAAAGCAATCGTTAATTTGGGGCATATCCTATTGGACAAAATCAAGTTGAGAAAATGATCAGAATTTGGGACATAATGCAGTTTAGTCAGTAAAGGTTTGAGACAGGTTACTGAGGCTTTGTCGGATCTCCCCCCTCCTCATCCCCTGCCCAGATAATGTAGAAGTTTCACTTAAACAGAATTTTTACATTTACCTTTGGAGTTCGTACAATTTTGGATGCCATGATGCCACGGAAAGATTTGTCACTACGCTAAAAGATTTGCCCATTGGATCAAGGGAAAAGCCAACCGGTTAGCACCAGATATGAAGCGTATTCATATGATTGTATAAAATTCAACTATTAATCCTTCATTAGTTAAAACGAAATATCATAAACTAGCTCTAATATAAGATCTATTAGTAGTCTTGAAGACCTACTTATAAACGGAAAATAAGTAATGTGGCAGAATATTTTGCTTTGTCGACAATCGCACTATAAATAATTTATCTTTAACTTCTGCCCTGTGACCAAAAATTAATTTTTAAATTGTTTTAGTGTGTAAAGTGTCGAGACTATACGCTGCACAATCACAAACCGAGTTTGAGTCTCGCTGAAGGTACCTGGTCGAACCTGTAGTCCAGTCCAGCGGGGATGAGGATCTTCTATGAGAAGCGAGACTAGGCGAAATTCAATGAAAACGTGAGGTCTATTCATATGATTGTGGGAAAGTTTACCTACCAGTCCTTCATAACTTTAAACGAAATAGGGTGAATAGACCTACTATATCCATCTGGAATTGCTGTTGCAGGCACCACAGCCTAAGGGCAGCCAATGGTAATGAAAATCATTAAAAATGGCATGAAGCTTTATAATATACATTGTGTGATCCTTGGAGCAATTACTTAAGATTTGCTGACATTATTTTTAACATACAAGTAATTTAGTGCAGAAATTACGGTCCATGGCCTATAGCTGGTATAAAACATTTAGAATTCTTTTGCTCACTATGATTTTAAGTGTTTACACTTAGAAATTCCAGATACCAATGAAAGTGACTTTATATGAGGTGAATTATGACCAAAAAGAAAGTTACTTTGTTTATTGTTAATCAAGACAACGCGACCGGGTACGCTGAATAAATTTCTCCGAATGATGAATACTTCGAAAACACATGCGTTTTTAACACGTAGATTAAATAATAGAATATTACATTTTTAGCTCCTTAAGAAACATCATTTAACACTCAGAAAACGATAGTTTTACTTTTGCTTTAGACTTTTTTAACTCTTTATAAGAGTCATTCCTATCTCTTGGCCTTTAGCCAGATAATATAAAAAGATATGTATCAAATAGCGGACACAATCCTAAGTCTAAATTGTATAAAAATCTACATCAACAGGTCAACAAGGTATTTTCAGAGCTGTATAATCAGTGGTATGAGGGCAGTCGCAAAACCAGCTAAAAATCAGATCGGCAAAGTAACAAGGGAAGAGGAGTGCAACCAATAAATATGAAAAAATAATCCTAAATGTTGTTTCTATGCACCTTGTGTCATGCATCACTAATTTATTTGGATGTAGTTATCAAAGGTGAGCTCTTTACAAGTGAACTATAGTCTAAATGTGTCGAAAATATCGTCAAAAAGGAGACTAGTTTACGCAAATGCCGTAAAGTAGTTAAAATAATTATATTTGTAGAGTACACACAACCCGCATTTGAAGGAAGCGAATCCGCATGTATTTACATATCGAAACAGTATTTTGCAACTTTATAGAATACAAACACAGGAATAAACAGGAATTGAGAGTTAATCAATGGAATGAGAGACCCGACCATTGTCTTTTTTCCTACCATCCTCACACATTCTAATGCACAATAGTGCTAAAGACAAGATACCGAATCAACTGATACTCGTTCATAGCCAAGTGAATCTGGTGATACACAGGAGTTTACGAAAGTCTACTTCCAAGCTAAAACTGCAGAAGATGAGCTGCATCCAAACCTGAAGGCTTAAATTGCCATTAAAGTAATAGGTTCTCGAAAATCTCATAACGACAAGCATTAAAAGAAAATTAATTAAAAGACCTGATGAGTTTAACCCCAGGCCTTAAACGAGCTTATTCATATCTATATGAATCGTTACTAAGATTTTCCGATAGGAACTTTGTGCAGTGACTATACCTATCCGCATAAACGATGCCCTAATTTGCCGGAGCAAAATGGTGACCTAATTGATACCAATGACAATTTTTTGTATTCAAGTAAAGTTTCTTGACTACCGGTAAATCACTAATATAAGATGATTTCACACTATTTTGTTTAAGCTGACGAAGGACTGGTAGTCGAATTTTCCCAAAATGCTATGAGTAGAGCTGACGTTTACATTCAATTTCACATAGCCTTGCTTTCCCAAAAGTTTTTATCATCCAGGCTGAGGTGAACTGCAGTTTCGAGCTCGCATCGGTCTTATCGAAACCACCAGCGGGATTCGAACCGTGACAATGCAGAATGGGAGCTTGATACGTTGACTACTCTACCCTTGGGTAACAGAGCAAGGCTGTGTGAAACGTCAGCTCTACTCATAGCATTGTGGGAAAATTCGACTACCAGTCCTTCATCACCTTAAACGAAATAGGGTGAATACATCTCATATTACCAATAAATAGTCTTAAAAAAAAAGATCATACGAAAGTCGACCGCATAACTTATATCCGAATAAAGGAGGATTTTGTTAATGTTGATTTCAATTTGCAGAACCTCTTTCAGGAAAGTTGTACTATATAAAAAAGTTGTTAGTAATAATAATATAAAAATTATTTTTTTAAAATCACAAAGTGCCAAAATAATCTAAAAACTCTTTACCTAACTCATCCATGCTGAGGGAACTCGAGCCAGTGCTGGCTAGGTGAATTGAATTGAATTCGTCAGGAAGTTCCAGCAAGCCATACTTACAAGTACCAATGTGTTGTTGCTGCCAGGTTTGCCAAGAATCAGTCATACTAGTTCCAGTTGCTATGCTAGTCCAGTCTAGACCAAAACGAAGGCGTCGGATCACATCGCCTGGTTCAGCTGAGCTAGGGACGGTAATCATATATGTGCTCAGGTTGATACTGTTCAACGGACCCGTAAGGAAACTGTCGGAGAGCTGTAAATGTAAAAATAATCTGTTAAAGCAGGTTCAAAAATTATGAAAATTTATATTAAATGATGCATGGATCACAAAATTCATTAAGTCAATTCAAGATTGTGACATTTTATATCAAAAAAATTAAATTTTAATTAAGTAATAACAAGGAAATATTTTTATTCTCGCAAACTAAATCTTGGATATATTAATCAACATAT